CCTGCTCAGGGTCCTCAGCCATCCTCGTGGAGGCTTGACTGACTTCTTTGGAGCACATTTCGTCCCTGGCCTGCGATTCTAGCATGCTTTCAATTGGGGCTTGGCGGACGGCCGCTAAATTCCTCCTTCCACCTCTACCCTTCTGCTGCTTGGATCCTCTGGTCCTATAGCTTGCTCGTGCCCTGGTGGAACTGGCAATGGCATTGGCCTTCTTAGATCTTATGGATGGCATGGTGAAGGTTTTCAAAAGAACCGTTTTAGAAGGTTCTACACGATTATAACAATTAACAATTATTACAAGTGCAGAATGCTAGAGTAGTTGGTTATACTCGCGGCAGTCGGGGGGAAAGTGTTGAAAGACCTATCCCAGTGTTTTTTTCGGAAATCAGTTATATGCATTTAATTTGCAATTGCATTAAACAATCTTAATAATACATCGTATTCCTTATGAATTATTTTACAGATATCAATAATGAAATTCTTAGTTAAACTGTCTGGGAACTGAAACTTTATTTCAAAAATTAAAATAAGACTGTTTTAAATTAAAGGTATAATAACACACAAACATTTTCACACCACTGTAGCCTCCCCGAGAGCGAGAACAATAGGGACAGTACTTATCAGTAAATGTCAGCACTTGTTTAAGTTTTCAGGAGGGACAGTAAAATGGGTCAGTAATTGTCTAAGTTTATCAGCACCAGCAGTAAAAAAAGGTCAGTAATTGTCTAAGTTTTGAAGTAAAGGCAGCACATTGTCAGTAATTATCTAAGTTTGTCAGTAAAAAATGGGAATGTCAGTACGTTTCTGACTTAGTAGTGTAATGACCTAAGAATTAGTACGGAAAACATCAGTACGCCTTTGATTTAATGAGGTTGTTTTTTCTGACAAGGTCATTGTATCGACCATAAAACTTGCGAAATCTCGAAACGAGACTGTTGATAGTCTTGTTTCATCAACTTGTTTGTCAATAGCTTGCCTCGTTTTAGAAATTGTTCATAACGTAGAGTATGACAATACAAATCGGGAGCAGAGCAAATACAAGCGCTTGGGATATTTTACGGATTATAGACTTTTTTGGCCAACTAACGACTAAACTTTATGCCAAACGGGATGACTTACGAATGGGCTTGGTAAAACATTTAATGCTACATGTACCCGTCATGTATCTTTGTTTGTAAGGAATTTTATGAAGTTTCGGAATTGAACATAAATATGATAATTCAAATTCATTTTGATTGTTGAGAATATAAAAAATATTTAAAACTGATTTATGATTTGAAGAATTTCCAACTTACAAAGGGAGCTATGGGTATTCGATTACCAATTGGTGAATTTAATTCCAGTTCCTCTAAAACACAATTAACATAATGAGCCTTACAAACAATGACAATGTTGGTATTTGATTTTTCAGCTGAGACCAGTACATACTGATCGTGCTTTTTATCTAATTCTTTTCTCACTTCTATATAATTGAAGACAGAAGGAAAGATGTTTTCCATATTACCCTTTTAACCATTTAATGCGAGATTTCAACATCTATCTGATAAATTTACTTTTAATCCATTCTGACAAAGTGCCAAGGTCTTCGTTTCATATTTGACGCATCGACTGGCATAATATTCAACATAATTCATGATATTTATGAAATTATGACGCCAATTGAAAGATCGGGGTTCCCTAAATTTTGGTCCTTTTAAAATAAGTGATTTAAGGTCCTCATTATTGACTATATTTCCGTCACCAGCAATTACGTATCCAGCAAAACTATAGCTTTAGGGTGAAGATGAACATGATTACGTTGGGGGATTATATTTCAGATATTTCAGATATCTAAGAACTGTAGAGATTTTGAAGCATTTTGAGATCGGAAGCAAAAGTCGATGTATATTTGTAAAAAAAAAAATGCAAAGTGTGGACTTCAACTTGAAATAAAATGGTATGACAGACAAGACCCGTTTGTGATTTAAAATATTAAGAGCCATTCTCTGTAATGACTTGAACTTTTATATAGGAGCTGTGGCACGCATAGTCCCAGAATTTTTCCAAACTCTCTATGATAAAAGTCTTTGATATCGTAAACTCAAATCAGGCAAAAATTGGTTGCTATGTGTCATGGTTACCATAGCAACATGTCCTAAAGTTTGAAAAATGGCATTTTTCAACATGTTCAGAGTCCCACAGTTAACGTTTGCAGCAAAGCAAACAAGTGATAATAACTGTTTTTGAAAGTTGAATGCCTGATGTCTTAAATGCATGACAAATATGTTTGGTAAATCAATTATTACATACGTTACTATGGAAACAAAGTATTCAAAAGTAATAATTTTGTTCATTTAACTTTAAAAAGTCATACACTTAAGAATAAAAACAATTATAGGTTGAAATGCTAGCAAATAATACACAAAAGATCCTTGTAACAAATATCAAGGACGAAATATGATATTTCTTATAGGTTGGCAATGGTTGCCATGGTTTTAATACCACAAAGGGATTTTAACTTCTTTCTCTTAGTGTTTTAATCCTATCCTATCTTTTTAAAAAGCACATTTCTATACAACTGATGATCAATTTTTAAAGGCGTTGATGTGACTCTAATTTTTACATTTCAAAAAATTCAAATTCAATTCTTTAAATAGAGTGTTGCTATGGAAATAAGCTGAAAAATATGCATAAAAATCTGAAAAATATTCTGTTTCCTTGGATACGTACCCTTGTATGTAGATTCCCAAACTTTTATTATGGATAATTATGAACAACTAACCTGACTTTCAATTTTGACTACCACCCAATCTCTAACTGGATGCAAAAAGCTGGCACATAGGATTTAATATTGATATAAAATCAACAAAATCGAACATTTTCACTTCTTGGTAACCATAGCAACAGTGTTGTAATTTTCAACAAACTTTATCAATATATGATATTCAATTTTAGTTCTACTAGATAAGTACTATTAAAGGTGAGTCAAATAATATGTTTCTTGGTTAAAAGGTTAGTAAATTCCTAAAGCAGCAAAAAAATATCGCTTTAAACAACTGGCACGTTGTTTCCATGGTTACAATGCAAAATAACAATAAATCCCAATTTTTCTTATGTTGTGGGTGTTGCAAGGTCCTAAGGATGTATATGTGCCAGTCATGAATTTTATTGTTTTTCCTCAAGATAATAGCAGTAACCCAATCTTAGCAACAGATTTTGCATGGTTACACTATGTTACCATGGGAACCATGAAAGTTATTCTTAGAATAATATTGCCAATACCTAATTACTTAAGGTCAACTATTTTTATTGTTTTTTCTTAGGTTGTTGATTGAGTTTGATCATCTTACACCTATCATTAGTGAATATTGAGTGTTTTAAAGCATTTTTCAGCATTTAAAATGTATTTCAAACATACCCATGGTTACCACTTGCTTAGAGATAAATTCTAAATAGTTTCTTTATAGCATAAGTGGCAACAAGGTGTCATGTTTTTGTAAGAATGGTTTATTTGTTTTTCTTAGTCTTTGTTTAGGCTTAATGAAGATTCAAAGTAGCTGAAAATCTCAATTTTTCCAACTTTTCTGGCTGTTACCATGGCAACCAAGACACATAGCAACGAAATTTTATTTGATATATGTTTCTGGTGTCAATTTGTAATAATGGGCAAAGTTTCATGAAAATCGGTGACCATGCGTGGCAAAGAAGTTTAAGTGGTTACAGAGAATCGCTATTAACTTACATAAACTGTCAATTCATGTGTTGGCATGTTGAAGTTTAAGGAACAAACGATATTTTTTCCTCAGTAAAATGTGACAGATTAAAAAGCCTATGATTTGCAATATCCATAATAACAGATCCGAGCTTATTCTGGTGTTGAGGAATCCAAATGTGGACTTTCCCTGACTTTTTCGATAGAATATTAAAAAACTTTCAAAAATGTTTTTGTAAGACCGATGTCCATGATTACGCTTACGTTTCTTTGTATTGATAAAAAGTCCCATTACATTCACATTGTTACACTGTGGACTTGAAAGATTCCCAACACTGTCGACATTGTCATCTCTACGTACCATATGGAAAGGTCGTGTCTAATTTTCTAATCTAGTATTCCTCTCGCTGTCTACGGAAAGATGTACTCAATGATGGTTTGTTAGTATGATTGTAAATCTTTTCCGGAATTCTAACTTCCTTCACAAAATAGAATTATCGGGTAAATTAAAGTGTTTGTATAGAAGCTTTTGGCCCCAGTTGTTAATTTGAAATCTATGCTCAGATATTCTTTTGCTAAGTGAACCTTTGGTTTCACCAACATAAATAAGCCCACAAATGGTAAATTCTTTTCCGTAGACAACTTTAGAGAATTAAATTTTGCAGTTAAAATTTTCCAAAGTTTTGGTGTAAAACTCTGTCCAGTTAGATTAGCAGTAAAAGAAGAGCCTCTAATCAAATAAATTATAATGAAACTTTCTCCAAATTAAACAGAGCTGGTATATATTTAATTTATTTGTACATGTTTAGGCATATAGTTACAAAGAACGACAACTCTTCACGCACGGGTGTTTTAAGTTCAGACAAAGCAAAATTACCGTATCTATTTCAAGACAGATTATACCTCTTAAAATGATTTAAAAAAATCATTCGTTAGTTAAAATCAAATTTTCATAATGTTATTTTAATAGTTTTAACGATGACGTCACAAATGCATCAAAACAATGAAAAAATTTACGAGAATTTGAAGACGATGCTGTTTTAAGCTATAACCGATGTTAAGAAACAAATGCGATGCATATTGTATGTGATTAATTAAAATATAGTGGATTAATAAGGTCTGCTCGTTTTATTTTCATTAGTTTTATTCCCAATTAAGACAAGGCCTTATCTTGTTCAGGATATTCTTTGACACTCTGGACAGCACCACAGAATGCAAATACAAATAACAAACAACATCGTTGTTGTTTCAGTGAGCATGGTGTTATGGACAACCAACTCTGAAGACATATTCTATGACGGGCGTCATCGAATATGTCTGCAGAGCAAAGGTTGCCCATAACACCGTGCTAGCTGAATAACGTCGTTCAATTCTTGAGTAGCTATCAAGTAGTTAGATAAAATACTGCTGACATTTTTTTTAATTAAATATCAGAAAGTGTTTGTACATATTGCATATTTTACAAATATGCTCTACAATAAACAAGAGAATCGTCTTTCACTTCGTCATCTGCTCTGGAGAAATCAACTCCTTCTTCTTCTGTTGCCTTCTCTTCTGCGCCTCGAATTGCGATGCCTGCTCAATCTTCGATGTCTCCTGTTCCTCCTCCTATTTGTACGATACCCATTTCGAAATCGATCTCGTCCACCTTGAATTAGCTCCAGTCCATTCTGCCAGTTGGTGATGTTTGAATTATGACCCCTATCACCACCACCGTGATTTTTAGCGTCTTGACGCCGATAGGCTAGGATTCTTTTAATTCGATTTATTTGAGCATTCACATTTCTGCCTACATTAACCCAAAATACCAAAAAAGAATATGTTGGTGCATGCCTGTACGCATTTAATAAGTTACTTAATTACTCAGAAAACCCTCATTTTTCATTACATTGTGTGATACAAGTCTAAATAATTCGGTCAGAAAGTACATTTTTGGACGGATGAAGCAATATTATCAGATATATCATTGAAAATCTTTGTTGTTCCTAATCCACTTAAAACATTTTATTTATTATGGTAGTGAAAATGCATTTCTTGGCCAATAGTTTATATTTTTAAAAGACTGATCTTTTAGGGTATGAATCATAATTTGCATATGGCATAGTTATGAACATCTTATGAAAGAATCATAACTCAAGTTACAATGTCCACTGATATCTTTAGTCGTCCATGTCGTTTTGCTGATACACATGTATATCTTAGTTTCAGAAACGGCCTACAACTTTAACTACACGAAAAAGTGCTTCACTGATATTTCGGACAGAAGCATGGATAAACATTAATACATGAAGGGAAAAGCAATATGTATAGGGAAAGTGTATCATTGAAAACTATTCTAAGCCTTTTAATGTAATGTAAGCTAAACAAATTCACCTGCTTCTGCTTGCAATCTGTAATAATTTGTTGATGTAGCAATGGCGTTACTGTATGAAGTTGCCCCAAGTGGACTCCAATCATCTATTAATCCGTTACGTCTCAGCCTGTTGTAAACACTAAGAAGACCCTTTTCTGTATAATATGCTTTAAAATACTCGTGTTCAGGTCCCAGGATACGCCGTTTTTCACTATGCCTGAGAAAGGAGTTGCTAGAAATGAGCCTGAGTTTTGTTGTTGGTTTTTTTTTAATAAAAATCATTTTTTACATTTCATAATTCAGATTACATTCAGAAAAAAAGAACTTTACAGAGACAGAGGTTTCTTGTCAATGTGATGCAAGTAAACAAATACTAAGGGTTTGATCATACACGAAAAGAAACACTTTGACTTGCTTTGGAATGCATGTCTGTACATGTACGCATGTTATCATAGAGAGACCTTGGATGTGATACCATTTCGACCTATATATGAAATATGAAGATAACAAACAGTATTCAGGATCAAAGTCCATCAAAACCATACAACTTTGAAGTAGAGCAAACACAGACCTCTAAAAACACCATAGGTGGGATCAGGTGCCATGGAGGAGTAAGTATCACTTGTCGACAGGTCACAACCACCGTGTGTTCTTTGTCATGATCAGGCATATGCTTGACGACCACACTTTTATGCGCAAGATGCCTCTATCATATTCACACGCCAAGCATGTTGCATTTTTGTTAATGGATTATTTAAAATGCAATACTACGGTTTTTTATTCACTTCCCCAAAAATAACTGAATTATATTCGAAACAAGAAATAATATTAATGGAGTCATGCATATGGTGATATCTAACATATATTTTGAAACATTACACAGCCAAGTTTACTTTAGCCCGAGTTAACAAAATAACTATTTTATGGCTTGCTGTTTTTTCTCTCTACATAATGCAACAAGTTTGATTTCAGTCAAGATAAGTCCATTCGCAAAGAAAAGCATTTTTTTTTTTAGAATAAGAAGCCAATCCGGTTTAAGTTTGAGAAGCTTTTTAAAATTTTGTCAGAACAAGCAATGCTCTTCAATTTAATGTTGTCGCCCGCGTGGCGCAGTGGATAGAGTGTTTCCTCTAGTGTCGGGGAGTAAGGAGTTGATCCTTACGTCTCGGGTTCGAATCATGGACCGCTCGTTCGGATGAAACCGAATAAACCTAGGTCGCAGTAAATGCTGATACGAAAACGACCCTCACAGCTCAATGGCCCTCGTGCCGAGTATAGGTCTAAACTTTTGCAGCACTCCACCGACAAATGGTAGAGTGTCAATATGAGTGAAAGATTCTTGAAAGGGATTTTTACAAACAAACAATCAAATAATTTTTGTTCAGTTTATATCAGAATTATCTTTTTTTTTAAAAATTCACCCGTACTGTAATGATGTTGAAGCTATCATACTTATAAAACACTATAAAGGTAAAATAATGGTGATTTCATGTTATGTCCTATTTTTTTAAGAATTTAGGACTGAACTTTCATTATTTATATGTTATAAATACTTAATATAAACGTATGTTTTATAAATTAAATCTAATTTAGAATTAATTAAAATTCTTCGACCTCTCCAATCATATGAATTGCTTTTTAGAGAGAAAACATTGTCAAAAATACATTTGTAAACCTCTTATGGTCAATGCTTGTTTGTTATGTTTGAATAAGGCTGAACACGACTCGCAAACAGGCATACGGAATACTAGTTTTACTGATTCCGATATCAGCAGAATGGTGTATAAACCCTCGCATTTGTTACACGTGATTGCTTTTATTACTTATTACTTATTAAGGCCAAATACATTGAACTGTGATCAGGTCTGAGGCCTAAATAATTGTCCAAGACATTAATGCAAAATAGGAGAAATACTAAATCTGTATGTTTTACGAGTCATGTTCAGTTTAAACCATTCAACTACCATATATTTTGCATTTTTTCTGTCAAACAGAATAGGAATTTCAAATAGAAATATTGACATTTTCTAGTCACTTTTACACAAAGCAACCTACATATTTCTGGAAGGTAAATCTTAAAGTTTTTAATTTTGCAGAGTGGAATGACGACACGGTTGCCATGGCAACGAATTATACTATTAAAACAACGCATACAGTGAATTAGTTTTTAGCTCTAGCGGCCAGTTCTATTTGATAAAAAGAGTTAATACAATTTATGGATTTCATTTATCCACAAGTCTTTAGCTTTGGCTTTCCAGCCGTCTGATTATCCGTAAACAATTTTCAAATCGCTTCCCCGCCTACAGTTTACGTCTAAGTTCAATAAAACTTGGTATACCTGTAGAGTACAATTCTTTGTTTCATTTTCTTTATTTCTATGAATAGAATTGCAATGGTTATTTTTCTTTTTAAGAATTGTAACAATTTCAACTATTTGTAACGCACGTATGCTATGTACAACATCATGGTACATATCAATATTACACTTATCAACATCACAGTAATTATTTTCGTCTATGAAATGTTTCATTTGTTAGGCCTAGAGAAAAAATGTTTCCTTTTTCAGACCGACCCTATTTTTTAAATGCTTTTTTAAATGTGAAGATATGGATTTTCCGTTTTTGTCCGATTTATAAAATTTGTACCATAAATTAAAGTAACAGAAGTATTAAAGTTCCTGAAAGCATTTTTCTTTTTTTCTTTCATGATCAGTGTGACAAAGATGTTTCGTTTTGCCAAAATTTGAAAACATGGCGACACACGTGGTGGTTGTAGAGCTAAAAAAATGTTCACATTAACCAGGCAAAAATATTCGATCTATTTCGACATGCCTGAGGCTAACCCAGGTATATGATGACCTCCATCAGTCACGAAGCAAAGGTAATACCTTTACTGTTTAGTTTGCTGATTATAAGGTTGATAGTGCCTTGACTGTATACGATTTAATAAGTACCACTTCCACCGATTGATACAGAAGCGTAAGATTTGTTTGTGGTGATAATGCAGATATTTTTGCCACCAAACAAGCGGTAGACTGTGCCACCAGATATGCTTTCCAGGTTTTGATGTCAAAGGGCTGGAATTGTCCTGGTAAGAAGGTTCATACGTGATTCTTGTGTCTATCTAGCAAAGACTGACAAGAATTTCTTTAGGATAAGGGGAACTTTTTTCTGTCAGTTGTTGTCTTTCTCACTTCTTATGTCTATAGTTTTCAGTTTTAGAAAAAAAATCTGTTCCACTCGTGAAATAAATTCCATATCCAACTACAAAACATTTTATATCCTCTATGTAAACTGGTATCTATTTAGGTTTTCACGGACACACGAGTTTCTTGCGATTCAGTGTCGGTATCGCTGTATGTGTCTGACAAAACGTCACTTTTAATAATCAAAGTCGCAGTAACGGAATCTGAATTGCTACCCTGCGCAGTGGTTAGAGCGTTCGCTCTAGAGTAGCGGAGTAAGGAGTTGATCCTTACGTCGCGGGTTCGAATCTTACTGTGGGACGTGGAGACCGGTCCTTCGGATGAGACCGTATAAACCGAGGTCCCGTGTCGTAGTAGGTGCTGGCACGAAAAAGATCCCTCACTGCTCAATGGCCCTCAGTGCCGAGCATAGGTCAAAATTTGCAGCTCTCCACCGGCAAGTGGTGGCGTCTCCATATGAGTGAAAAATTCTCGAGAGGGACGTTAAACAACAACAAACAAACAAACAAACCCTGTCTTACGTCCATGCTACGTTCCCCTCTTTGTTCGTAAATGCCATGATGACAGAAAGGGAAATAATTAAAATGCAAGTTTACTAATTTTTTTTTTACATTTAAATGATTACACTGTATTTTTGAGTACTTCATTTTCACGTTCCTTTACACTACAACTTTATTTTTGTATTTTAGAAAAAGGAAAAGAACAGTTATCGCTTCATTTCCATGCAATAAGTGCAAGTAACAAGAATATATCCATCGTCGACGAGAAAATTCAAGATCTATCCCCATGAGTTCCATAATTATGGATGCTTTTTTTTCAATTTTGATTTTGACAATTTTTCATCTGATTATCATAAAAATTAATGGCTAACTATGTAGTCTACACTGTATTCATAAAAATGCTTTTTCTTTATGAAAGAAAAAATACTCGCAGAGTCCAACTTAAAATTGCATTTATAAGAAAAATTTAATATATTTGTACCTTTTAATTTAAATAAATCCGAAGATTTGAAAAAGGTTACTGTTACATTTAAAAACATGTGCATTGACTTTACAAATAATAATAATTCTTTATTAACTATGTTCCATATATCAAAATAATCAGTTTGATTACAGTTGCGCCAATGCACTATTACACTGTACATGTGAAACGTCAAATGACGTCATACTACATTTTGCGTGCTTTACCCGTAAAAGTCTCAATTTTTAACAACAAATACCTCTGTAACAATAGCACATATCTTATAATATCCGTAATAAAAAATAGTTAACATTCTCAGCTTCCAGGTAATGGCATTCATTTTTGCTCTTTTGAGTTTTGTACTTAAGATAAGACCAAAAGAAGATACCTCAAAATCAGTCAGTTAAGCATAATTTAACAATTTCCAGCAAGGACAAGAAATATTCACTTCAATTTTACGATAACATCTTACATCGCACAGAAAAATCTTTCAGTAGAAAAAAAAATTGTTTAGTTTCCTCTCTAATTTCAGAAAATATAATTGTTTTGTTATATCCCAAAACAGTTAAATGTCTGGGATGCAGAAAAAGCATCTAAAGGTATCCCTAACGTTAAAGAGTTAAGCTACCTGTATTTAATTTGTACCATTGATACAAGGAAAAGGATGTGATCTATACAAAATAAATTAGAAATTTAATAAGTGATCATGCCAAAGTAGGCATCTGCCAACTATTAAATAATGAACATATAAGACTGCGAAGTTAAAATGATAATGATGCAGTACATATCTTTCTATCACATATTTCACCTGGTTAAGGTATGGCAGTTAAGGTCTCTCTTAAGCTCTTTGCAAATTCGATTGTCAAGGTTCTCTGCGAGTAGTGTACCTTGGAAAAGAAATTAATGCAATAATTATAATTGTAAGAATAATACACTAGCAATGCAAAAGAATATGCTCTGCAATAAAATTATTGTGACGCAGCACTGTTAAGGCTTCATAAAGGAGAGGGGGGAGGGGGGGGGTCCTAATTTATGCGAAAAATGTTGTGTGACATCAAACAAATAAAGCAATTCCTCACAATAACAGAAACTGTAATAATCTGAGATTTTAAATTGTAGAAGAGTAGTGAACTACTTCAAATCCTAACACTGGATTCATTTTTGTCGCTAGTTAAATCCAACACAGCAAGGTATACACAAGTCACTGATCGAAATGGACTTGTCTATATAACGTCATTATTGTAAAACTTGACGCATTTTATGGCGGATCAAGTCGGTTTTTTGTACAGGAAAAAATACATTTTATTATTTTACAGAATTTTATTGACTGATGTTAGGCGGACCATTAATAAGAATATGAAACCCAATTTAAGTGCCATCATTTAATAATTATCGAGAAAATATATTGAAGTAATTTTACCGAATTTTTGCCTACAGAGGTGTCCCGTTTAATATGGAGCTTCTTCATGAAATTCTCTATTCACAAGGGCATATACATAATAGATCTTGACCATTTTTGAATATACACAAAGGAAATATTTCAAAAATGCTGATGCAATCGTGAAATCGGGAACCTTCCTTAATAAAAACATAAAATACATGGTGAAGCTCACACTTATTTCAACTTGAGCCCAAACATTTCAAATTTAAAAAAAGAAAAAGAAAAAAAAAAAAGAAATCTTTTTAAAAGCAGCAGCACTTTCTAGAAAGTAATATATATATATATATATATATATATATATATATATATATATATATATATATATATATATATATATATATATATATATATATATATATATATATATATATATATATATATATATATATAAAATCTTACTTCTGGATTAATTATATTTGCTTACGATATCATCGTATCGTCCACAGAATTTGCGAAATGTTGACTTTCAATGAAACTGCTCATATCGTTGTATCATCAATTTATTTGTTAATAGCTTGCCTAGTATCAGAAATTGTTCGTATGTAGAGCGCATGCTCTTATGTATTGATTCAAATATTAGAATGTCTGCTGCAAATTGTCACTTACTGTTGATGCAGAAAAGATTAACACTTACTACATGTATAAAAATTGAACATAAACTAATGAAATATAATTTATGTAATCTTGCCCGTCTGTACGTATGTTTAAATAAGAATAATCAACGATGGTGTTGATAGATAACATAGGTAATTTGTATTCTAGTCAAATGATGTACACAGAAAGCCGTGTCTTCCAACTACTAAGAAAAAACGTATTACTATATTTCCAACTTCTACACATAACCTTAATCGAATACTACATATCTCTTCATACAGTTCACAAGAACTGACTGACGAACTTTTATTTAAGTTCAAACCATACCGTCATTAAAAAAAGATTTTGTTAAAAAAGCATAAAAAAAAAGCATTCTGATCGCACACACGAGTACTCTGAAGTTGATATTAAAAAGATTTTTGAGCTGTGGCCTTCAACTCGACATTTCGTTATATCGACGACGTATTATCAATTAACAATAGTTACTTTCATTCATATGTCGATGTATCCCAGTGAGCTTGAAATGAAAGATACCACAGATTCTGACATATCTTTTTCATATTTAGATATTTAACTAGAAAAAGACGTTAATGGTTACCTAACAACAAAGCTTTATGATAAACGTGATGACTTCAGCTTTTCTTTCGTCAACTTCCCTTACTTATGTAGCAATTTACTCGTAAACATGCATATGGGGCTTATGTCTCTCAGTTGATTAGATATGCAAGAGCATGCTATACGTATGAACACTTTCTAAAACTATGGACAAACAAGTTGATGATACAAAGATATCAACAGTCTCGTTTGAAGTCATCATTTCGCAAGTTTTACGGTCGATACAATGACCTTTTCAGCGCATACAGTACATCCTATCATTAAGTCAAATGCCGACTGATTCTTTTTTATACTAATTGTCAGACAATAACTTATACACTGAACTGTCTACGGAATTTTCCCCCGATCATTACAAAGAGTACAAGGCGGGAGTGACAGGTCGACAGGGGATGCTCACTCCTCCATGGCACCTGATTCCACCTCTAAATTTTATGGTCCGTGTTTGCTGTGCTCCAGATTTGTGTCGTTTTATTAGACTTTCGAGATTGAATACTGTTCGTTATCTTCGTATTTCATTTTGAAGGTGTGGTTAATTAAGGAAATGTATTTAAAGGTATTATTTTGTCTTTATTTGCACTTACTGTTGTCTATAAACATAATTTATACAGAACTCAGATTTTCTTACCTTCAATTGTTATGAAGATCAACAAAACAAAGATGGGATTCCAATCCATTGTCAGTTGATCTAGAATAAATGTTTGCCATGAATTCAATTTAAGTGTACAACAAATAGATTTTTGACATTATATTCTGCCAAAATTAGTCATTAGTTTTGAAATTTTGAGAATTTTAAACATATCAAATCTACAAATACTTTCATATGTATACAGTTTACTTCTGTGTTTAAAGTTTAAATACAAAAATATAAGATGATTGTTATAATCTAGTTGCTTTTGCTCCCTTTATAAATAAGAAAATAGAAAGCTTACTTGAGACTAATAATAATAATAATAATAATAATACAATGAAAGTAGCCTGATTAGTGCACCCCACTTTTCTTCCTAAGGGCTTTCTAATTACTGAAATGCATCAAAGTAGCAGAAAAGTCACAAATAACAAATAAGGTTTAAAGCATGTAAGGAAATGGACACAGTAGAACACAGGTTTTATTTCTGTCAAAGTGCAGAAGTGTTTTGGAATGCTTTTTTGAACTGGTGGAATAATAGTTTAAATTTATATTTTATCTTTGATCTTTCATGTAAAAATGTGATAGTTGAATTTGTACTACAAGTTATAACAATCCCCAGCATATCAGTATATTACTAGCAAAATATTATGTTTATACCATAAGAAATGCACAAGAAAATAATGAATATAATCTAAATTTTATGATCTTAAAAAATGTTACGGAAAAAAATATACTGAAAAAATCTATATACTGTAGTAAAAGAAAACTACAGTGCAGGGAACTAATTTTGTTACATAAACCAGCATCAGCATAAGCATTAGTAGCATCAGGATTGAGCTAGCATCAGCATCAGCATTTAAAAAACAGCATTACCAGGATCAGCATCAGCAAGCAAAGGATAAAACCAGCATTGACCTACATAAAATCAGCATTATCCTACTAGCATCAGAAAATCAATGAGTTTTAATTCAGTAAAATATGTAAAAAGAAAAAAAGAATATTGGTTAAAGTATTCACATTATTGATACATAGTGAGATATTATGATCAAATTATTGTAAAAGGCACTTTAATTGCTTTAAACGGCAATGCTGAAATTCATTATCTACTTCCGGTAGCATGATGCTACTTCTGGTAGCATTGACCTAATTATAAAACAGCATCAGGATAAGGATTACTAGCATTGAATCAGCAAGCAAAGGAAGCATTCAAATCAGCATCGATACTGTAACAAAATTAGCTTCATGCACTGTAGAGGATTTTTATAGTGATTTGAAGGTATTATTAGATAATTTGGAAAACTGATTTCAAAGCAAAACTATATATTAGCCCTAAGACATGTTTATTCATTAGAAAAAGTATGCAATTCACCTTTGATTTGTATATCATGTCCTTTTGTAATTTTGCAATGTTACATGTATGTTTTTTGCATAATTTGTAAAATGTAAGAGCCAATTCAAAAAGTGTAAAAATTTACATTATAATAATTACATTGAAATGTAAGCCAAAGTTTTACTATATTGCATTTTTAAGATTTGACATTACAATATATACGGTTATGTACAAAAACAAAACAAAATAAAATCAGCACAAAAAAATTGTATTGTTAAGAATATTTTTTTTTCTACATTATGTTTTAAGATTGACATATTTGGTGCAAAGGGCCAAGTCTTCCATATTAGAAGGCCAAAATATTTGAGGGAATTTTTAAGTTAATCTGTTCGGTATCATGGTAGGCGAAGGTTGTGATTAGATTCTGAACGTAACGGATAAGCATTAGAATTAACTTTGAAGAATAAATAAATCATGGAGGTAAACAGGGCTCAGGTTGTAAAATATCTTGTACAGCAAAATGTATTTGTGTAAAGTCACCAAATCAAAAATTGATTAAAAATAATGCCTTTGAGGTAGCATCAGGGGCTGCATCAAGTATAATTCTACATGCCGTATTTAGATCTATGAATTCTCTCCATGTATCTGTTTGGTGCGTTACCCCAAAGTAACATTCAATTATTTAATTAAAAAAAAATGTGCGCTACTTTTCCCAAAACGATCCAATTTAAAGTATCTTGCACTAAAACAACATCAAGATATTTCACTACTGATGGTGTCACTATTTCCTATGATATTTTTTAAAATTGATTCATAAGCCAAGGCAGAGATAAGTCCATTTAATTCTTGCCGATTGGCAATCGCCATCTTTATCTTAAAAAAAATCCCTTCTTTTGTGAAGGCATTTAAAAGCATTTCTAAAAGAAAAAAATAAAAGAAGTATAGGAATACTTTACGGAGGAAAATGTCTTACGAATTTAATTTGTATCAAGAACTGATGACAGGCTTGTACTGTGGAAATAGACGACGTAAAACATTTCTTGTGATATTGATTGCTAGATAAGTAAAATCTACGCAATGTTGATTTTGCAAGAATGCCAAATGTTATATTATATAAATTTTATTTATTTCAACGTATTTGATATGCTTCATATTATGACAGTTCATGCACTCATAACCCAATTTTGGATTGGGTGGGGTGGAGGTCGTCCCCAGGCCCCCCTAAAAATTTTCAGGAATCGCAGGAAATGGATGTTATTCTCCACAACTTTAAGATCACATTAGTCGTATTGATATTGAAGCATACTGATGTTGTGGGGATTCCGAGACCCCTTAAAATTCGGGTTGGAGAAAAGTATGGAGTCAACATTAGAGTAACCAAAAATATTCAATGCTAAAAGCACTACACTCGCAAATTAATTTTAAATTAGGGTTCTCTAGGATGAACATTTCATAGAAGGACTTGGTTTATTTGAAGCGCTTTATTTTTATTTTTCTTTAGTTATTTGATAATTTACTGCCCTATATAAAACTAAACATAATTCAACAAAAGTATTTCAATGAAAGAAAATTTTAAAACTGAAAGCATGGGTAACTGTTATTTTCCTCGACTGCTTGAATGAAGATAATTAAGAATCAGTGTGTGTGTTTTCCACTTTTAAATAAGAAACTGTGATTTCTGTTTTTCAGAACTTTTTTTTCTTTTTAGTGGGGGTAAATAGATACCCTTAGTTGAAAATATAATTAAATTTCATACGAGGGTTGTCCGGTAAAATCGTAGACAAAGCGATTTTCTCGAAAACTAATAGGCTCACTAAGCTGAAATTTTCAGCAAATGTTTATTTATCATATTTAAGCTCATTTTATTATCTTTTTTTTAAATAAAAGATAGACAAAACAAAAGAATTTACTATGTTTGATTGTGCACAGGGTACGGTCTTATGGCGCACGATAAAAAAATACCAGGGTTTCATTAGCGAATACACAAGTATTATTTCGAAATAAAAGTATTAATAAGATAAGGTTGGGATAAAAAATTATCCTATTTTTCATCCACTATCTATTATCTCGACTTGCGTAAAATTTCAAGGTATTTGCTTAATTTTTGGCAGTATCACGATCATTTGAAATTGGAAAGTGGTAAATGCAACGTTTGGTGACGTTACGGCGAACAGGAGATCACTTCAGTTTGATTTATATGTAGTAATGACGCCCTTAGAAACTTTAAATGACTAAAGAAGAAAAAAGATATAAAAATATCACTAGATCTTTAGTATACAAGTGAAATGGGAGTTTTCTAAGCGGAAGCTTTTTGATCGGGTCCCCGGGTAGAACAAAACATACATACAAACAGCTACTGGCAATAGCGAAAGACGCTGTCACTGTAGACCGTCGATATAAGATAGTTGCCTGAAAGTGAATGTACTGTCCATAACTTACTAATAAATCTTCAAAAGGTTGCATGTGTGTGCGAGATTGGTTCCTCGACTGTTTATGGAGGAATAGAGGGAAAGTCAAGTATGTGTATCAATGAAATCCCCGAATTTAAGTGGGGCTTATCCAACTTTTGTTTATCAAAGAGGAAGCATGACGCTGCTTTAGATACTTTGACGTTATCATCCGTGCGCCGTAAGGCGATACCACACAACATAAAGTCTCATATTTTGTTTATTTGAGCATATATCTATTTGAAATTTGTTAATACAATGATGAAAAATATACTAAAAAGTAGTGAAAATTTAAAACGTAGTGATAATTATTTTTCACTCTAGACAACTTGTCCACGATTTTATCGGACAACCCTTGTATATGTGCATTTGTACATATTGGTGTTACAAAGATCTTGACTGACTGGATGAGTGACGGCTGTTTTATGTCTGTATGTCTATTTAGTCAATAATATATTTATTGTCTTGTACATTGTTGGTAATTTATATATTTTTCATTTTTGTTATTGAAGAGAAAATAGACTTTCCGTTCTTAAATGGTAAATGTATTTATACGCTGTAAAAAAAAAGAACATACCAATGCTTATCCCAAAGATAAATAACTATTCAGTTATTTCAAATTTGAAAAAAGAAATAGAAATACTATTTTGACATGTCCGTGTACATATGGTTCCACAATCAACAAAAAATATTTTCAAAATAATCTATTAACTAATTAGTACTTCATTTTAATTAATAGAGCCCGTAAATAAACTCAATGAATTTTCTTATTATGACATGTTTTTATATGTAAAAAGTGCACTATGGTCATTTAAAAAAAGTAAAATAAATATTACCTTTTTGTCAGCCAAGATCTATTGGTCGTTGAACAGTGTTTAATTTTTACTTATATATAAATATTGCAATGGAGATCGAAAACACCTGTCAAACAATATTTTCAAAAAGTAAATATAAATATTTACTTAACAGTGTAATAAGCGATAACTTTATTTGAATTCGATAATACGACGTGCGTGTAATATTTCATAGTCAAATTACGGTAGTATTCACACTTGAATATACCTGTGTCACATAACAAGCAATATCGCATAGATGCACAGAAGCATGCCCAGTTTATCAATTCAACACACCTTTCAAAGAAATACAACAGCTGAAAATAACTACAGCATGCATACACAATATATTACCAATTTTTAGCATTTTGCGATCACCTAGTTATTACCAATGTATATATGTACATGTTCAAACATAAAACAGACAAGTGTGAATCTTGTCAAAATACAGCAAGCCTACTCTGAAACGTGTTCAGAATGTTTAATACCTTGCGGGCAAGATCTAAAAAATTATGTTTATGTTTTAAAATTATCGAAGAAAGCTTATTCTTTACCTTAATAAATTCTAAATGCATAGTTTCCGTTCAAAAAGAAAATGAAAAAAAAAAAAACAGCTTTATCATCAAATTTGAAAAAGACTGACAAAGAAACTGGTTAAACTCTCCTTCGTCAATTTTCGGTATTTACATACATAATTTACAAATTGAGATACCCTAACAAAAATACTATAGTTAACTATAGTGATAACTTTGACACTTTGATTTACTATAGTGATAACTTGACACTATGATTTACTATAGTGATAACTTTGACACTATGATTTACTATAGTGATAACTTTGACACTTTGATTTACTATAGTGATAACTTTGACACTTTGATTTACTATAGTGATAACTTGACACTATGATTTACTATAGTGATAACTTTGACACTATGATTTACTATAGTGATAACTTTGACACTTTGATTTACTATAGTGATAACTTTGACACTTTGATTTACTATAGTGATAACTTTGACACTTTGATTTACTATAGTGATAACTTTGACACTATGATTTACTATAGTGATAACTTTGACACTATGATTTACTATAGTGATAACTTTGACACTTTGATTTACTATAGTGATAACTTTGACACTTTGATTTACTATAGTGATAACTTTGACACTTTGATTTACTATAGTGATAACTTTGACACTTTGATTTACTATAGTGATAACTTTGACACTTTGATTTACTATAGTGATAACTTTGACACTATGAAAACTTTGATTTACTATAGTGATAACTTTGACACTTTGATTTACTAAAGTGATAACTTTGACACTTTGATTTACTATAGTGATCGCTATGAAAACTTTGATTTACTATAGTGATCACTATGAAAACTTTGATTTACATTAGTGAAAACTGATTTACTATATAGTGATCACTATGACACTATAGTGTTCACTTTGAAAACTTTGATTTACTATAGTGATCACTTTGACACTATAGTGATCACTTTGAAAACTTTGATTAACTATAGTGATCACTTTGACACTTTGATTTACTATAGTTAACTATAGTAAACTTTATTTAACTATAGTATTTTTTGTTAGGGTAAAAACTAAGATCTAATTAAAATAGTACGCAGTTGTTCACTGGGACTGAGGGCAACAGTTGATCTGTCAGACCAGTGTTTTCACAAGTTTGCACACCGATCCGACAGATCAACTGTGTCCCTAGACTCCTGTCAACAAATGTATTGCTTTACCCATATAGTAAACAATCAAATGAGTGCGGTATAAAGTAATAAGTCAGGAAATTGAATAAAAAAATTGTAAGAAATCAAATTTTGTTAAATGTATTTAAAGCTGCGGTTCATAACGTTAAGACTATAAATTGAAACCTAGTAAAACACATGTACTCCAAATTGAATTATTACAGCCTTAACAGAATTAGACTTTACAAAGTGGCATATCATACATGTACGTATTATGATAATCATATAAATTTGAATAAAATATTTCATTTTCAATTTTCTTATATATTTTAAAATGAATAAATCTTATACTAGGTTAATTGATTAAAATCAAGTACAGGAATCTTCAGTTGAGAATAAACATGAATAAATCAAACTCGATGAAATAGTTCAACAATAAAACTTTGATAGAAAATAAATAAATCTATTTAAAAATTGATAAGAATAGATTTACAATATATTTTTTACGTTTATCAAATAGTTTAACAATAAAACTTTGATAGAAAATAAATAAATCTATTTAAAAAATGTGAGAATAGATTTACAATATTTTTTTTAAGTTTATCAAATAGTTTAATCTAAAAACATATAAACTTAATGATCACATATTTCTCAAAATGCACTTATCCCTATATTGAAAAGATAAATTTACATAAAGCTTAATGAAAATTTTCAGCAACAAGTTCAACAGCAACCAAAAAAAAAATGAATTATACAACTGATTTTGAAAAAAAAAAACAAGATTGCCTGTATTCTAATATTTAGTAACAACACATTTTCACAGACATATTTTTTTATAACAGTTTTAAATGAATTTGCATGTGACGTAAATAAATCACTGATGAGTGGATAGTGGTTTCGCAGTCATGGAAAGAGAGATATGCAGTGTTTACATAAGAAATGCTGATACCTCTTTCTTTCAATTAAACTTCCAAAGACTGAATCATCAAGATCGGATGGCAGTTAATTCTCTGTCTTCAACTTCTTGAAGAGATGCAGTGGAGGCTGGATTAGGCATTTTGTTGTTCTCTATTGGTCTTGGGAGTCGCTGTTGAATTGATGTGGCCTTGAATATAGATAATTTGAAAGCCACAGCAAGAGATTTGTTTTTCTCATGTAAAATATTTTGAATGAATTCTGTTTCATTTGAATACAAAAATAGGTCTTCTTTCAACAGGGTGTAATAGGTACCCAAGGGAATTCCAACAGAGTGTTGGAAGACCTGGTCTCCAAAATCTACATAGATATTGTCAATCAGAAACTCAAGCATCTTTTTAGTATCTACTTCAGGGTAGTTGTGTGTAGAATCAGAATATTTTTATAACAAAATAATTTTGCAAATGACCAATGACAAGGTAAGTAAATTTACGAGTTCCATTTTTATTGAAAAAGCAACTGTCAGTGATGTCAAAAAGCCTGGTATTTAATTTATCGTGGGGAATGGTTGTATACAGAGTTGAAAAGTCGTAAACTTTTATGTTATTGATTTTGGTAAAAATTTGTGATTTCAAATTTTACAAAAGTACCTTATAATATTTAAGTATCCACATCTGATTTACACCATCTCTCGAATATATTGTTGCACAGTACTCCTGAAGTTTCTCCTTCACTGTTGTTAATATTTTAGTGAGAAGTAAAGAAAGAGGCTTGGTAGAACATTTACTGGAACCCGCTATGTATCTTTGTTTGTATGGATTTTCATGAAGTTTCGGAATCCAATACAAACATGGTAATTTAAATTCATTGTGGTTGTTGGGAATATTAAAAATATTCAAAACTAATACATGATTTTGAAGAATTTTTTCTCCTTCAAAAGGGACCCGTGGGTATAAATTGGATTGCCACTTGTAGAATTAAATCCTAGTCCTTCTAAAATACAATTAAAGTAATGAGCTTTACAAACAAAGACAATGTTATTACCTGCTTTATTAGGTGGGATCTGTACATACTTATCGTGTAGTCTTTCTAATTTCTGAATTACTGAACACAGAAAGATGCGATAGGTTGGGATAGGAAATACAATTCAAATCTTTTTATTTATCAGGCATTACGTTAGAATATTATTGTCACCTTTCTTAAGTACTTGACAAATACTTGACAAAATGAAGTGGATGACCAAGTAGTTTTTTTTTCTATAGAACACCATATTTGCATTTGAAAAGTATTAGAATATTGCACTACATAGGCTTTTTATCGTTCTACAATATCTAGAATATGTTTGATTAATTATCACCTTTAAAGAAATGGTTATGAAGCATATTTCTTAGAAGAACAAGTAATTAATTCATTTCTTTAGCTTTCCATTTACCTGTATATTAATTAGATAGAAGTTCTTCCTCATTGTTTCTTGATATCTACTTGACCCAATGAATAACTAAACCATATTCTTACATTTCCTTGACCAAATGTTCATGTTTCCACCAAACTTTTCTGGCTCTGCTTTCACATTAGTCATTGGAGCCATGTCTTAACCAAACACAAATCTTATTTTTTGGGTATTCTCAATATTTAATAAATTAAATCAATATTTTATTATGTAAAGTCATATACATATTTGATTGAACTTCGGGCATCATGCCTAGAAGATTCTCAATTCATTAACTCCTGTAAAAAATTCACCCCTTTCCAATGTCACATTTTTTTCTCCACAACTGCCTTCATTTTGAATAATTGCATCAATTAATTTGGTCATTAATTTTACATTTTGAAATCCTGCTTTTCTTTCGAAGACTTGACAACAAGCACCCATTAAAAGGTATATACTCATACAGATATGCATGTGTGCATTAGACAAAACATAATCAGAAATAAGTTATAAGGACAATAGGTAAGGTAAAGTTAATAGACATTTTTTCCCCTTTTATGCATTTAGTTTTAAAATAGATATGGAAGTATAGCTTAGGAGGAAAGCAACAATTTGGATGGATAAAGAAACTTCCTCATCAATACGTCTTTGTGTTTTAGCGATAATAAAGCCTGTACAAACTTTCAAAAAATATGTTGTGTGAGTTTTTGTATGCTTGGTCCTTTATCTTTAAATTCAAACTGGCTGGTCGATTATGAAAGTATGAAGAAATTAAATAGCACTCAGACTGAAGATCGATAACATCGTGATATATTGTCAATTGACTTTTTACAGTAACAGCTGTTCTTAATAAAAGGCACTGTGAATTAAAGACCCTATACACTGAAGAAAAATGTTCTTTAGACTTGAGAAAATTATAGAGAATGAAAAAGTAAATAACAAAATCATGTGGTTCATTTTCAACAGAAGTTGCGTACCTTTTTTTTTTTTTAACCAAGAACGATCTTTATAGACAATGAAGTACTGACGAAGAAAAATCGCATTATTATGCTTACTCAAATGGGAAAATTGCATTCAATTAAAAGTTTTAAATTCATCTATCACAGTCTAATATAAGGTTAAGAATACTTGCATTACTTACAAATTATGTAGTTGCCAGTGTGGTGACTGGCTAGAGCGTTTGCATTAGAGTCGCGGAGTACGTAGTTAATCCTTACGTCGCGGGTTCGAATCCCACTGTGGGACGTAGAGATCGGTCCTTTGGATGAGACAGTATAAACCGAGGTCCTGTGTCGCAGTAGGTGTTTGGACGAAAAAGATTCATCACTGCTCAATGACTCTGTGTCGAGTGTAGGTCTACATTTGCAGCTCTCCACCGGCAAGTGGTGGCGTCTTAATATGAGTGAAAAATTCTCGAAAGAGAGCTTCAACAAAAACCAAACAAACAAACTATGTAATACAGTGCAGATTACAAAAGATTCTATTCTATATCAAATGGTGGATCAATCTAGATATATAAAAGTATCCTGAAATTAATGTACAGTGTATAGAGTGTCCTTAAATAAACAAATAAGTAACGTATGTCCTTTTTCTCTAAATGCAAAATAGTTTGGCAATAGTTGCTAGAGTAAAAAGAGATTAAATAGCTTCCAGACTGGACATCGATAACATTGTGATAGGTTCTTAACTGACTTTTTGTTGCTGTTCAGAATTACAGGCACAGTAAAATTATATAAACGAATATTTTATTGATATATTTAAGGAGGACATAAAGCATAACAATGATATATTAGTGATTCAGGTAATGTCTTCCTCTAATTATAAAAATGTTACAGAACCTGACGTCAGTTATGTCGTGCTTTGAATGTATATGTATAATTCTAAAGCATCAGTAAATTCAAATACATCTTGGCAAGCCTTTTGACTGACCTGAATTTCTTTAACTTAGGATTAAAACTGTTACAGAGAGAGAGAGAGAGAGAGAGAGAGAGAGAGAGAGAGAGAATCAAAAAGTAGATATATTTATAATTCTCGTGGAAAAGAAATGTATGAAAAATACTTTTTTTTATTTTCTTATCCTTGTAGTTATGTTGCGTTTTGTATACATTACTCATGTATGTCGGTATACATGGTTATCTTGTTTTGAGTGAATTCAAAGCGATGCTCAATATATATGATTCAGATTAGAACTTCCTGTATTTTGAAGTTTGTTTCAATTCCTGCTGAATCTTATACATATACATAATATACAAATTTCAGTTGAACTCATTTAAAAATAAACATCAATGTTAAGAAGTTCACTGGGAAATGAACTTGGTCACGTGATCAAATCCTGTGAAGTCCCAGGGTAGTTCCTTCAAAATTGTTTGAAATATTTTTGTAAACCTGTAAATAAAGGTACATTGATGTATTCAGCAAAGCAAATACGTTTTTGTTCTATTTCAAAGTGAATTGTATGATTCTTTAAAAAAAGTGTTAAGATGTGAGTAATACACCTTTAGAACCCGAATAAACCAAGGAAACAACAAACTGAAATTCTTACAAAATTTAAAAAACAAAACTAAATTTTTACAATAAAATAAAAATAATTAAAATGAAATGTCTAACTGCAGACCGTCCTGGGAAGTGTCCTGGAAAGTGTGATTAACTGATCACAGCACCTATGTTTAACATTTTCAGAATTTGGGTGTTGAATTTTCCTCACACGTATTTTTTCATAAATGAAATTGAATATAAATTCACAAATAACACATAAATCACTGTTTCTTAAACTTTCACAATGCTGTTTGGATTATCTTTGGATTTAATCAATATAATTTTCAAAGTGTTGAATTCTTTTTAACACATAACTTTTAAATGCTGGTCACGAGTTGTCCGTCAGGGCTGCATCTGACTCTCTCTCTTTCACATGTGCTGTTGTAGCTGCATAACCAAGACTCTCCCCCTCGCCCTGGACTGGCTATTGTATCAATGAAATTTAAATACCCCGCCCAAGACCTGTGTCATTTTAGAAACGGGACGAAAGCCCAAGGAAATAGGACCCTGGGGAAAAAATAGTAAAAAAAAACAACCATACTAAGTGTGTAGATTCAAACTATATAAACGTATTTTACAAATTACATTTTCATTCCCGTAAATACCTGATGTACTTTTGAGCACCCGCCCCGGCTACTTCAGAACAAGCCAAACAGGTCTAATCTTGGCTGTGACGTCCCGGGTACTACTCGAACACGAGCTCATGCAGGTAGATAAAATTGCTAATCGAGGGGCTCCTCACAGGATGATGATCAATATATGTTATTATACGATAGGGGTATCTTATGGGATAAATTTAGTTTGTTTCAAAAAGATTTACAATAAGTCTTTGCCTCTGTTGGCTCTGCACGCCGCCCTCTCAGTAGATAACATGTCATAAAAGTTAGAAAAGCTCTTATATTCAGATTTAATGAAAGTCGTAGTGAAAAGTAAAGATTAGTCTGAATAATGTTCATATCAAAGCCACGTATAATTTCGAAAGTTCTGATTTTTTTCGGTGAGAATCGTCTGATCCAGCGGTCAAAAGAATTTTGGGTGAAAAGGTAAAAGCAGTTTTCGTTGATTAAAAAATACTATAATCATTCAGGAAATAAAGCGGATATTCAATGGCTATCTGTTTCATTAAAAAAACTCTATATTTTTTAGTTTTTTTTCTCTCATCGTAGTCGAGATGGAAGGGATATAAATAATAATAAAATAATAATATAATAATATATAGCGCCTTATCTTATGTGAACTCTAAAGGGCTTTACATAGATATAACAATCTACATAAAAAACGGAAGAGTAAAACAATCTTATATCACCTATAAAATAGTAAGGCATTCTGAAAATACAGTCACGTTGATATTAAAACAAGCCATACGTATATACACTTTCCACTTCAAGTAAAGGCTTTTTTAAAAAGATGAGTCTTAAGTTCCCTTTTAAAAACTTCCAATTTGTGAACTTGTCGAAGTTCTACTGGCAGCTGATTCCAAAGTGTTGGAGCAACTCTATCGAATCTACGATCACCGTATGTTTTTGATCGGACTCGAGGCACAACCAACTTGTTTGACGAAACCGAGCGAAGTGACCTGGCGGGTCTGTATTCGCAAACTAGCTCAGAAAGATAATTCGGTGCCAAACCATGAAGTGCTTTGAAAACATAGACACATAGTTTGTATTGCACTCTATATTTGACAGGAAGCCAATGTAGCTGAACAAGTATGGGCTAAATATGTTCACGCTTGCCTGTCCTAGTAATAAGTCTAGCACCCGTGTTCTGAACCCTCTGCAATTTGCATATATATGTGCTATTTATGTTGAATAAGAGCGCATTACCATAGTCCAATCGTGACGTCACCAGAGAGTGGACAAGTGTTTTACATGCCCCATCCGTAAGAAAATGTCTAATGCGTCCTATTTTGCTAATCTGCGAGTAGCATGTCCTTGAAACAGCATTACATTGCTTTTCAAAAGATAGGATTCGATCGAAAAATGCACCAAGATTTCTGACATTCGGAACACTGTGAATGATTTTTTCTCCAAACGATAAGCTGAATTCGGTCATGGTTTTGATTCGACTCTTAGGGGCAAATACAATAAGATCAGTTTTATCCTCGTTTAATTTCAGCATGTTACCAGACATCCATGACTTGATTTCATTCAGACAGCATACTAACCGAGAAGACACATTCAGCCAGGTCTCAGTTGGTTCTACTACTAGATAAACTTGCGTATCATCGGCGTATACGTGGTACCTCATACCATGACGCAAGCAAATCTCGGTAAGCGGACGGGAAAAAATACAGTATATTTTAGGGCCAACACTGAGCCTTGAGGTACACCGATATTTAAAGGTAATGGATCGGAAATTTCGGAACCAACTGATATGCGTTGCGTTCTTTGACTCATGTATGACTTGATCAACAAAAGAGCGTTCTCTGTTATACCAAAAGTGTGTGCAAGCCGTTTGTACAAGATGCCATGGTCAATGACGTCGAAGGCTGCAGAAAGATCCAACATAACTAGAACTGCACAACTGTTGTTGTCCAGCGCAGCAGCAATGTCGTGATGAACACGAAGTAGGGCTGTCTCAGTGGAATGGTATTTCCTGTAAGCGGACTGAAGGTCATCGTTAAGACGGTTTTGTTCTAGATGACGATCAATTCGAATGGCGAAGACCTTTTCCAAAACTTTTGATATGAAGGGCAAGTTCGAGACAGGTCGATAATTTTTGAAACATTCTTTATCCAAACCTTGTTTTTTAAGCAATGGTTTCACAACTGCCTCCTTGAAACTCGATGGAACAGAACACTCAGATATCGATTTGTTGATGATATCTGTGATATGAGGCACTAATACTGAACTTTCACATTCTTTGAGTAAATTGGTTGGTAACGGATCTAAACAGCACGTTTTTGGTGCAGAGTTTGACAAAATTTTCAAAACTTCCTCACAAGTTGTAGGATCAAAATTGACCAACTCTTCGCCCTCAAATGGTTTATCAAAAGCCATGTAATTAGTGTCGCCTCTGCTTTCACTGACCAACTCATCTCGAATGTTGTTTATCTTGTTACTGAAAAATGATCCAAACTTGTTCGCTAATTCCAAATCAGATGTACAGTCGGGAAGAATAGGAGCATTTGATTCTCCAAGTAGTGAATTCGTAATTTTGAAAATTGTTCCTTGATCTTTACCGCAAGAATTAATTTTGGACAGATAGTAGTCTCGCTTGCTTTCAACGAGTAGCTTCGTGTTCGATGAACACTTTTCTTTGTAAATCAAATGATGCACAGTCAGTTTAGTGCGCCTCCAAACCCTTTCACTTTTCTTTTCTCACGTTTTGCTTTGCGCAGTTCAGATGAGTACCACTTTGTGTTCGGTCTTAACGTAATTTCTTTACTTAAGAGAGGTGCGTGTTTGTCGACAACATCGCGCACAATGGAATCGTAATTCGTAACATGGTCGTCAAGCGAAATGTCATCTAATTTCAGAAAACTAAGGGTGTCATCGAGGTCGGAACTCAGGTCCTTTATATTAACTTCACGAAATTGCCTAGAACTCACTAATTTCTCTGGTTTTTCCGGTTTCGAAACATTCAAAACAGTACATATACCCTTGTGATCACCGGACACATTCCCTCTCAGATCACATAATAAGGAATCTTTTACCTCCGGTTTAGAAAACAGGAGGTTGTTCGACTCTCTGGTAATGACCAGGTCAAGTATATGCCCCCTTTTGTGGGTTGGTTCATCAACATGCTGTTTTAAACCAAACTCATCAAGAGAGTTAAGGAAGTTCTGCGTATCCGCATTTTTGACGTTATCCACATGGATGTTGAAATTGCCTGTGATAAGAAGTTCTTCTGATGTAACGACTAATGATGCTAAGTACTGAGAGAATTCCCCAATAAAACAGGACAGACTGGCTGAAGGAGGTCTATACACGACAGACGTTCGAAACTTATAATCCTGTGAATACACGATGCATCCGATATGTTCAAACTGAACAATGTCCCAGGGTTCTTTTCTTCAACTATTTTTAAATTTTGTCTTGCTATGATAGCTACACCCCCTCCCTTACGGTCAATTCTGGGTTTATGATAAGTTTTGTAGCCTACAGGGGTTAATTCATTTAAAACTATTTGATCCGTATCAGTTCCAAGCCAAGTCTCCGTGATGGCCAATATATCAATATCATTCGAGACGATGAAGTCTGAAATTGAAACGGTCTTATTTTTCACAGATCTGCAATTTATAGTAAATAAACGTAGAGACTTTTTGACTCTTTGTGATATCGACAATGAAATTTTCGTCAGATTGTCTTTACTAATGCCAAGTGACGAATCAATTCTCTTTGCCCGATTTTGAATTAATGTTTGGATAGGGAAAGCTTCACATACTGTATTGGGAACTTCCTTTGGTACGGTTGATAAGGGATTGTTGAGTATATCACCCAAGATGTACACCAAATTATCTCCATTAACCCCAAGTTGATTCCCCCTCGTATTTCATATATAAATAACTTTCGAAGCTACATGTTTTTCCACAGTGACTGTGCTGTCTCGCTTAGGTCAGACTTGTGGAGAAGTTTTATGCATCGTAGCAGGTTTGTAACTACTGGAGTGCTATATATATATTTCGAGGAGTATCATTCTTATGTTTATACCGCCCTAGAAGCCTTATTTAATGCGATTTTCAAGAACTGCGTCAGATCGCCTCAGTCCTACACAACGTTTAGGCTAACTTGCTACAAGAACAAAATCATTCAAAATCAACAAAGGTTTGTTGTGTTTCGTGTAATACGGAATTATACATAATTGCACCTCAATAAATTCATAGAAAATATTTGCAAATGTAAATATTTTAAAATACATTAAGGTGCAGGACTTTTTTTTTACAAAAAAAAAATTATATACAAATGAATTTAATCATGGAAGCTGTGTATAAGTTTCAAATCAAATATAAACATTCCATTATCAGTTTAGTTGCAGTAGTAATAATAATAATAATAATAAATAATCGATAGTTCCGCATATGTAATCAAATGTGTTGAAAAATACATTGATGTCAATTTACTAGTAACAATAACAACAGTTGAATATTCTGTGTATTTGTAAAATGCTTTCAAAATATCTATATACACAATTGTTCAATGTTCTAAAGTGAATAGATGTGACTCCAATGACCACCTCACTTTCTGTATTATATTTGTGTATATGACTATCTTCATTAAAAACTTTCACTTACAGCTGTATACTTTATTAAAAAAGAATGACTAAGTTAGTGTAAACACTTTTCTTCCTTGAAACCCTCTATTCAAATTACAATCATACATAAAAATAAAAACATACAAATCTTCAATATCAATATTAATATTTCATACATTTACATGTACTACTATTTATACAATCCATTCACAGGTTTACAAATTTCAACATTTTAATTGATCTTTGGTCTGAATTTTCTTATTTTGAATTTAAAATTTTAAAGCGTTGGAGACATTCTTATCATTACTATCCCGATAATTTAAAGAGAGCGAGAAGTGAAACTGATGGTAAAGATAAAGATAAGTAAATCAAAATAAAAGAAGAGTGAAACACATACATTGAATAACACTGTCAGTAAGAAAAATTAATGTCAAACTGTAGGTAATAACAAAAGTTTTCTTCTCATTTTGAAGTGTGGGAATAATTCTGTTTTATATGGATATATTTACATTCCATATGGATTTTCCTTATAAACGTGGTGGAAAGGTACTATAAACATGGTGTAAAGGTACTGCATTCATAGCATCATTACACCGACAGGTAGGTCCTGTCTTCAATTAATTGTGTCTTACCCAGAGGACAATAGGAATGTCATTAAATTGTAAATTGAACCATTAGTTTATTATTTTTTGAAGGATGTAGTCTCATAACGGCAACGTGCGCAGGTAAATTTTTGATACGCGCTAACACGCATTTTAAAATTTTGTTTGCACATTGTTGCATTTTTGATACTTCAAATTTAAAAACAAAAATCCATGCTTAAAGAATGCATGCCAGCTATTTAAGGACTACATGTACTACATGTACATGTATAAGTACCCAGCAATACAGACATAGTCCCAGAGGCAGCATGAAAGGGTTCAGGCTTACATTATGCTTTAAATGCAATTGTCGTAACGATTTTTTTAATTAAAAATTATCGTGGAAACTATAGATATTGAAGCATTCTTTCCGAAAGATTAAATTATAGTCTCAGTTGTAAATTTTATATTGATAATAAAATAATGTATATTTGTGGCGTTGGGGGGGGGGGATGCAAATTTAAGAACCGTTTATCCTCAACTAGTTTCAACCGCTTTAACAGACTAATCGAGTTAAAATAATGCGCTTCAATTTCTATGACTGTTATTGCTTTATATTTTTGATAATTATCACTAGTTACTGTTTTTCTTAAATAGATATTTTTAACTAGAAAAAATTTACTAATTATATATGTTCAAAAGTCACTTCAATCTAACACAATCTGGACAGATCAATAGGATAATAAACGCGTACAGTAAGGTACAGTCCCCCGGAATTTCAAAAGGTTTCTAAGTACGTGAAACGATTATACTTTTTATCTTGAAAAAAAAGTTGGAAAATGATTTTACACTTTTCTCTGTTGACGTCATTTAAATTTATCATTTTAATGTATAGTTAGTAGTAATGTATAAGTAGGTTTTAGAATGACGGTTAAATATATATAACTTCATCAACATAAAAAGATCTGCAGACTTTCCTATATTAAGAAATTTATCTTACAGAAAACGATATCCAATGCATAGCTGATCTGTTTGTCACTGAATCCTAACGACGTGTTAAGCTTTATAAATATTTTATAATTCTTAGCCTGTCGCATAACAATAGTTGATACAGGTATCCCCTTTCATACTTAAGGTGAAAAATCCCTCTGCTCTAAATTTCAACAATATTTCAATTAATTCCCGACACTGATTTTCATAACCAACAATAGCATTAGATTCTATGTGGTTTTTGGAGACCAGGTCTTCCAACAATCTGTTGGAATTTCCCATGGGTACCAATTGCGCCCCGTTGTTAGCAGAACTATTTTTGTATTCCTATGAATCAGAATTTATTCAAAATTTTATACATGAGAAGAACACTTGCTGTGGCCTTCAACTCGACATTTAGATATATTGATCGTATATAATCGGTTAGCAATAGTTATTTCCATTTATATGTCCACACGACATATCCGAGTGAGCTTGAAATAAAAGATACCACGGAGTCTGACACATCTGTTTCATATTTAGATATTTTACTGAAAAAAAAACGTTAATGGTAATCTAACATCAAAGCTTTATGATAAACGTGATGATTTTAACTTTTCAATCGTCAACTTCCTTACATATGCAGCAATATATATGTACCCTTATCATCTGCATATAGAGTGTATATCTCTCATTTGATTCGATGCGCAAGAGCATGCTCTACATATGAAAAATTTCCAAAACTAGGTAACAAGGTAAGATATTGGCGAACAAGTTGACGAAACAAAATCATCAACAGTATCGTTTAATGTCATCACTTCGTAAGTTCTACGGTTGATACAATGACCTTGTTAGCAAATACAATTTATGTCATATAATAGCTGACGTTTTCATAATAATTGTTAGGCCATTAGACACTGAATTGTCGACGGATTTTCTGTTACTTACCGATCATAACAAGAAGCACACGGTGGGTGTGACTGGTCGGCAGGGGATGCTTACTCTTTCATGACACCTGATCCCACCTCTGATGTTTTGATTGTCCGTGTTTGCTTTGCTCCCAAAATGTATTTTTTAATGGACCTTGAGATTGAATACTGTTTGTTATCTCCATATTTCATTCAAATGAAAAATGGCTCGATGTATGAAGCGTTGCTTACTTTATCAGAAATGAATAGTATGTCTAATCGTGACATGAAGAAAATTTATGAAAGTGAATAGAAAGATCAATTATTGTGTATCTCAGTTTAAAATTAGAAATATCAGGTATATATGAAAATATTTACAGTCATATATATTTAATTCATTTAAGAAAACATAATGAAGCTTGCTTTTTAAATCGGAATATCACTGTTTTCTGTGCTCGTAAAGTAAAAATGCATAAATCTAAAAGAGTTACCTTTTCATCTAGAGGAGTTATCCTTCTTCAAAATATTTTTAAGCGAAAAAAAATTAATTTATTATGAAAATTTGTGACATATTACAGCTTTGACTGAATTGGCTATATAATGGTCATTATTAAACTTTGGTAAGACAATTTTTTGGATTACTTGGAATAATTTCCTTGGAATGTTATCTTTCCTATCAGAGTGACATTTCACCTTAAGTAGATACAACCTGATACAAATACATATATATGAATTAATATTCACTTAAAACCATACAATTAGTAAACAATAACTTTGAAGGTGTATTTTCCATTGTTTATCTTCTTTATTATCTGATTATATTTACCTTTGTCTGTTCTGTGTCTGTGTATACTTGGCCATTTATCTAACTTACAAAAAAAAATTGATTTTAAGTAAGCCTTTAGACAGTCCAGTGTCTTTATGTATGCATGTATCTATCTTTCTAATTACAATTCCTTGTTCGATAGTCCTGCCTCTCTATATATCTATATACACAAACTATGTTGTTGTATGATTCAACCCAGAGAAGGTGGGTTTTATCATCATAACTCAGTCCCCATGGTGTGTCCGACCCTTGTTCTGTAGCTAAAAGACACAAGAATTGCCCGTCCTTGTCAATCATCTGCACTGTACCGGTGACCAAATCACCCACCAGGATGTGTGACAACGCGTCTGTACAGACTCCACGTGGCCATATATCAACTCCTGAAGGAGGTCCTGTATATGAAAAGCGATGTTGCCCTCCACGCTCTGTCACCACTACAGCACCACGACCAAAATCTAAAAAGTCAGACACAATAACATCTCCATTACGGTTCTCCGTTATGTATCTAGGGATAGTGTAAAGTTTCTGGCCTTTGTTGTTGAGTTGTATTGTCTTTATTTGTTGTCCAGTGTCACTATACCGTGTAACCTTGGCTGAATCCGTACTCCACATCCCCACTAGTAAGTCTCCATTTGAGGGTGAGAAGTAGACACTTTCTGGTCTCCATGATTCTGGTTTCTCTATTAGTGAGGTCTTGGTTTTGCTATCTTTCGATAGCTTCTTAATGTTATAATCCCTGTCTATATAAATAAGATCACCTGTTTTGTTCACTGTGTGTGCTCCATAACTATTCGGCCATATATCTCTCAGTCGATGTAGTGTGTCTCCTCCTATATTTGTTAAGATGAGGTTGCAATCTTCACTGATCCAGACAAGGTCTGATGTCAGAGGGGAAATGTGTCTTACTTCATGTACATCTGTCACTGTGACAGACCTGTGTAACACGGGTGAAGACATTAATTTAAGCAGACATTCATTTCTTACTTGTCTTTTTCCTGTCTCTATGACTTGGATTTCGATCAGTAACTTATTGACATCATCCAGCCTGATTTTTTCCTCGGTCAGCGAGATTTGGGCGTGTTGTGTAAGCTTGGGAGTTTTGTTTATCTCGTGTACTTTGTTTTTTGTTAAAAATAAAAGGAATTTAACAGGTCTGTTTGCGGACTTTTCAAATCCGTGTTCAAATTTCTCTATACTGACAAGGAGTCTGTTCATATTTCTCTTCTGTTTTGGTAATCTATGAGTCATATAATGTAAAACATCACATATCATAGTGTTTATAAGGTTCTTAAGTATCCGGGCTTTTGCTGACATCTCTGATTGAAAGTTGGAGAATTCTGTGTGACAGTCCTTTAGATTATCGTAGATTCCCGCTAGGAGAAAAGAGTTGTTATAAAGAGTCTCACTTCTGATGTGAATAAATTTTCTGTGTTGCTGACGCTTTGTTTTATATTCTGCTCTTATATCAACTGTTTGGTGTTTTCTGTGTTTTGAACATCGGAAACAGACAGGGAGTTCACACGATTGACAGTACAATTTATAGATTATGTTTGGATGTTTAACACAGGTCTCTCGTCTTGGAATGTATTTATATTTCTCACGGTAAATAACAACGTCATGGTTGAGGGTTTCTAAATCAGAAATATGTCTCTCTTTACACTGTTCACACAGATCATTTTCACACATCTTGCAATAAAATTCTGTGGTACCTAGACATTCAAAACAATGTCGGATTTTACAGTGGGTGCCGAATCCTAGCTTGTTCATTGTGAGGGAGGTCTAGATCCCTAGTAAGACAAGATTTTGAAATGGATAACTTTAAAAGAAATAAAAACACAAATTTAGGGTACATCTTAAATTACAATATATTGTTTGGTTCTTGTATCGATTTTCTGAAACATTATCTAAAGAATGTTTTTTTTTTTATTTTGTCGTTTTATCTTAAGTACAATACAGTAGTGAATTCTATGGTGTTCCGTTGAGGCCACTCGCACCTTCGCACTCTCGCATTTAGGGTGAAGATGCGAGAGTTCGAATTTGCGAAGGCGAAAGTGCGAAGTTGCGAAGGAGCGAAAGTGCGAAGATGCGACGGCGAAGCTCGAAGGTGCGAGGGCGAAAGTGCGAAGTTGCGACGGCGAAGGAGCGATACTAGTATCGCTCCTTCGCAACTTCGCCTTTTTCCCCTCGCACCTTCGCCTTCGCCTTTTTTTGTGGAGTCCTCTAATTTTATTTATAAAAATGACGTCTGCAGAAGAAGATGAACTGTTCCGTCTGCATGTTGCGAATATACTTCCAACAAGGATTTTGCATGATGAAATTCGAATGTTATTGTATTTAAACCACGGTATTGAATTAAGGTATGCTATTTAAGAAAAGTGACAGGTATCTTGAAGTGCACACACATATAGTTGGCATTACGTTTTAAAATAGAGTTACATAATCATGATAATGTTCAAGCTAGTTGTACACTGATTAACAGGTTAAAAGATATGTCAGATAACCCTGTAAAATATTAATAAATTTTTAATAATTAATTGATAGTAAGCACGACGGTCTAATTTTACTCTAACTTTTGGCACCGTTACAATAATCAAGCGCATGCGTACCAATAACATTCAAGAGCCCACTAAAATTAACTCATAACGATGAAGAGCTCCACAGAAGTAAAATGCGAAGGCGAAAGTGCAAAGTTGCGAAGGCGAAAGTGCGATGTTAGTATCGCTCCTCCGCCTTCGCACCCTCGCACCCTCGCATTCGCATCTTCGCGCTTCGCCGTCGCATCTTTGCACTTTCGCTCCTTCGCCTACGCAACTTCGCACTTTCGCCTTCGCAACTTCGCACTCTCGCATCTTCGCCCTAAAGGCGAGAGTTCGAAGATGCGAGTGGCCCCAACGAAACACCATAGAATTCACTTTAATCGAATATTAACAGACTAAAGCTACATAATATATATCATTCCAGCCACAACATGGTTATAGCCAGCAGTTTGAATATCAAGTTATGACGTTAACAGTAAACTTTCAAGAGAATGTTAAAAAAAGCATATGGTCTTGACAGCAATCTATGTATCAATACAAACTTGTTTCACATCCGAATCTATTTCTGGGGGAGAAATTTTTAACCTTCAATACGTATATGGCAAATTGCAAAAACAGAATAGTCAAACTTGTTTCGTATGGGCTCAGGAGTAAAATTAGATAGGATAATCTATTTTGATCAATTTAGCAAAAGTATGGTCTGGTTATTAAGTGAAGTAGGATGTTCCATGTCTGAAACTATGGAGATCGCTGCGCAAAATAAAAAGACACAATTTAAAACAAAATTCTATCTGTTCACTGAAGTCTGAAATTTGTTTGGATGATTGTTGATTACGAAAATTCGTACTGTCCACAAAGTCTTTTTCAAAGGTTTTATTCAACACTGACTGCCAAGTTGACCCAGAAACATAAGAACGTTTAAAAGAAGAAAGATAAAATTCACAATTTGAACACAACTTTGATGTGTGTTAATATCTTAACCTGTTAAAATTAAGTTGCCTCATGCCTCCTCGCATAGAGATGTTCATTCGAATTAAACATACGTTTTTGCGAATTAAATTTGACCGCGTTCGCGCAGAGAATTTCATTCACATACGTTTATTTCGAATTAATGTACGGGGCTTCAGATTGCTTTGCATAAACTCCGTGTGAACGCAAAGCAAAGCTAATTCGAATTAAATTTTGACGCATGAGTTATTACAAAATTAAGCCCCATTCGCATTATTTTACTTCGAATTAAATATTTAATGCGCATTCAGGTGAACATTAGCATTAAACTTAACTCTGTCATAAGCAGTAGTCCTAGAAAGCGATTTGAACGCAGTTGCAAAGTCTATCGAAAATGGCACGTTTTTGTCGACACTCGCTAAAGGTTCTGGAATTTTCTTTTTTAAATAAAATGTCAAGAATGTCAGGAATGAAGAGGAGGATACTGCAGGGATACATATACCAGTTTTTATTCGTTACTGGTTTTGATTGAAATAAATAATTAAAACTCTTGAGTGATTTTCTTGCAGCTATCCCCTATACGTATTTCCTTATTGACATCCATGTAGATCCTCCCTCACCGTATCGCCGTTTATGGACAACTTGTGAATCATGGCAAATAAATAAATCTTACCTTGTAATAGAACTCAGAAATTTTTATTCGACTCTGGTGCTAAACGCAATTATATATTTTTGATCGTCAAAGATATTGAAACATTGCTTGAAAATTCACAAAGAAACAAGTCAGATTGAAAAATTAATTAGCATATTATTAAGTCACCAGAGCCACTCAGGTGAATTATTGCTATTTCTACGTCTGACATCGTCCATATTTAAAAAAAAAAAAAAACTTTTTCAGCTTCTTCTCTTGTTCTTTTAAACCAGTTCAACTAATTTTGGTATACACCATCAATGGGTGATTAGGGTCCGAAAATTGTGAGTTTCATGGTCCCTGGAAAATGTGACCTGGGTGGTAGTGGAGTTAAAACCATCAAATTAGTGCTAACTTTAAAAATCTTCTTTATTCGTGGACATCAAGCAGTCAAACAATTGGCATTATTGAAGTAAGGCCTCTACCAAAATTGTGATATTCATGACCTCAGGATAAGGGGTTCTAGAGTAGGTTTGGAGCTTCATTGATCATATAGTAAAACATTCGAATTCTTCAAAAATCCTCTTCTTTCCCACTGTATAAAAAGCAAATTAACTAGGTGCATATTTATAAGCAAGGGTGAATCTTATTAAACTGTGACCCAATGGTCAGGGGTGGTGATGGTGGTAGTGGTGGTGGTGGGGACTCTATTGATTATATAGTGGAAATGTATTTTTTCCTTCAAAATCTTCTTTTCTACTGCTGGATATAAAGCAAAAAACTAAATGTTATATAGTCATATAATGGCGAAGGGTGTATCATCCAAAATTGTGAATTTTATGGTCTTTGGTCAGTGGCTCTGATGTTAAGGCAGGGCTTTATAGCATATATTGTGATAATGCGTTTAGTCTTTGAAAATCACATACTCTGCTCCTTGATGTTTAGTAGATATACTAAGTACAGGCTTATAATGAGTAAGGGTGCCTTTTAAAAAATTGTGAGTTTCATGATCCCTTGGTATGGGGTTCTGGTGTTAAGGTGTGAATGATTTTATCAATATACAAAATTAAGGCATTGGCATCTATAACCAATAAGGGAATAATTCTTTAAATGTAGGTACCATGTTCATTTAAAAAAACAGATGAATTGTCAGCCATATGTCCGGAGTTTCAGAAGTTGTGCTATTTAAAAACTTGACGAGAATCGAAGTTGTTGGAAATTTAAGAAAGAAAACAGATCCAAGATTTTTGGAATTTTTAATGTTGGTGAATTCAAAAAAATATTAATAATAGAAAAAATACATAAAATAAAACGTGATAAAATAAAAAAAAATATAAAGCTACAAAACACATATTTATCAATCCGCACTAAGAATTCAGGCGATGTGAATAAATTTCTGTAGCTCAGCAAATGTCTTTTGATATTGACGAAACACCTGCCAAATATATCATTAATATCTTAAGTCACAAAAAATATTATGCCTATAAATGGTGCTAAAATGTCAGGAGTTTTGTGATATTTTGACAATTTAATATTTCTTGAGGATCTATGAAATAAATTGTAATGTTTTAAGTTGGAAACAATAGTAAAGACTTTCCTGATAAAATTCAATGTATTAGCTTTAACTTTAGATTGTAGTAACTTGTGTTTGACCAAGGTATGGTCATGGCCGCTGTTGATAAAAATGCTATACTATGTCAGGAATGCAACAGAAAACAAAAAAACCAAAGGGTTTTAACATTCATCTGAGCATAATATAATGATCCATAGATTAAAACAAAATAAGTTGATGAATGCCATGTTTCCCAAAAGCAAGAGAAATAGAATAATCAGAAATCATCAATTTGAAAGTATTCATTTAGGACTCAAACACAGATGTAAAAGTTGATCTATTTTTTTGCCTGTACTTTCCCCCTTTTGTCACTACTCTAATGTGGACTAATCAAAACAATAGTTCTGAGGCACTTTTAGTTAACACATTTCATTATCCTTCACATTCGCCTCTTTTAGTCTTTGAAGATTATTTATCTTACAAAGATGTGGTATTTCTGTCCCAATTTCATTTATCTATTATTTAAAAGTTTAACTGACCATTATAAACTATGAAAGTAGTTTTGTTTTAAATATTATAAAATTCCTTGTATGACTGTTGTTCAAATGACCTTTTAAGTTACATTATTTACAGTGATTTATTATTATAGATGAAAAGCAAAGGGAATAACTTCTTTCAGTAGAAATTAACAAATTGACCAAAGGGTAAATATTTTCAAAATCTGGTTAAAACAACCTTGCTCATTCAACTTTACATACTCTTTTTGTCTCCTAGATGCCCAGGAGCAGAGAAGAAAATTTGCAAATTTTTGCATACCTGATGCACGTAGATAAATCCAAAGCTTTTTATACCTCTTCAGTTGGAAATAACAATGATCTGTGTATCTGCTTTTGACAACTGAATTCAAAACAAGTTTATATCTATTTAAACTGCAAATGGTTTAAATAAATTAATAGTGCAATGAGATTTAAACAGTCCTCAATGGGCGCATACATTAGATGAAAACACAATACAAAAGCATTGGATATTTAATTGTCATTAATCACAATGACAAGTGTTTTAAAGATATAAAGAAGTTACAATGTAACAAATATACCAC